CATGGTCTGTGTGTATACGCAACCAGTCGACATTGTGTCTGACCCGGCCATACCAAAGAAGATTCACATGCACGCAGCACTGTACAGGTCGGCGATGCAATGCGGCAGCACAGAAGAGCAACACTATACAGGCGCAGTTTCACGCCAGGCTGTTCCCCCGATGCGAGGCCAACCTGCTGCGTTCTCAGCCTCCCAACACACCAACATCATGCCAAGGTTCAAGTGTTGGATGTAAAGCAGCAGGAATGATCCAGATTCACCTGGGGCAGGGAGAAGAAAGCTTCCCGTAGACTACTTTAGTGGCTTCCAAGAGTTCCCATACAGTGCTGTAGGCCCCGCTCCCCCGCCGAACAACTACAACTTCACTACTTTTTTGGGGGGGCGGGGGCAGGAAACAACTACAACTTCGGGTCAAATTAGTAGTAGTTCGGGGGGGGCGAACTACTACTACTTTGGGGGTCCGCCAAAAAAAGCTCCCGCAGACTAATTTAGTGGGAAAAAAAGCTTCCCGTAGACTAATTTAGTGGCAAAAAAGGCTCCCGTAGACTAATTTAGTGGCAAGACAACTTCCCGTAGACTCATTTAATGGCAGAAAGTCTCCCGCAAACTAATTTAGTGGCAAAAAAAATCCCGTAGACTTATTTAGTGGCACAGAAGCTTCCCGGAGACTAATTTAGTGGCAAGACAGCTTCCCATAGACTCATTTAGTGGCAAAAAAGGCTCCCGTAGACTAATTTAGTGGCAAGAAAGCTTCCCGTAGACTCATTTAGTGGAAAAAAGTTTCCCGTAGACTAATTTAGTGGCAAGAAAGCTTGCCGTAGACTCATTTAGTGGCAAAAAAGGCTCCCGCAGACTAATTTAGTGGCAAAAAAGCTTCCCGTAGCCCGTAGACTAATTTAGTGGCAAGAAAGCTTCCCGTCGACTACTTTAGTGGCTTCCAAGAGTTAATTTAGTGGCATGACAGCTTCCCGTAGACTCATTTAGTGGCAAAAAAGGCTCCCGCAGACGAATTTAGTGGCAAAAAAGCTTCCCGTAGATTAATTTAGTGGCACAGAAGCTTCCCAGAGACTAATTTAGTGGCAAAAAAGTTTCCCGTATACAAATTTAGTGGCACAAAAGCTTCCCGTAGACGAGCACAAAAGCTTCCCTCCCGTAGTCTAATTTAGTGGCAAGAAAGTTTAGTTTCCGGGCGGATCCCGGGAACTACTATTACTTTGGCACGAAGTAGTAGTAATTCCGGCCCCCCCAAAAAAAAGGCTGGGGTTCCAAGTTGTTTGAATTCAACTATTTCCTCAGGTGCGTCCTGCACTCGTCGGTCGTTGTGTTGAAACAGCTTGCCGCCGTTTGGGCATTCACCTTTTCAATTTTCAACCTAGTAATTCGTTTAAGTAATGTGAAACAGTCAGCCACTTTTCATCTTCGCACCCGTCGGTCGTTGTGTTGAAACAGCTTGCCGCAGTTTGGGCACTCACCTTTTCTTGCATGAGGTTTAGGCTTTAGGACATGCTTTAGGTGTGGTGCTTCTTTCTTTTGAGGGTCTCTGGTACGGTTCAAATGTGCACGTAATTCAAGGGTGACGACTTAAGCCGTTTATAGGGTTGTGACTTGAAGAGGAGGCCATTGAGCCTGAATAGGGGGATCTGCATGTCATGTGGATGCATCATTTCATTAACTAGTCCCCCATGGGTCCCCTTTTTCATGTGTTCCTTCCCCTCTCCAGGTAGGTTGGGTCCTGCGCGTGCCGAGGAAGGCTTAGGTTTCGCCGTGGTAGGTTGGTTCAGGCGCTTCCGTCCTCCCCCTCCTCCGCTGGTTTTTCTTCCCTTGCCCTTTCAGGGTTTGCCCGTTCTGGGCCAGGTGTGTTGTGTTGGTGTTCTCTCTTTCCCTCTTCTTTTGCGTTCCCCTCTTCGCGTCCTGGTTAAGTAACTTTCATTTCATTTTCATTTTCATGTCAATGTCACATTCATTGTCATTTCATCCGCCCCCGCTGCTGCGGGGCGTGTGTGTGTGTGTGTACCATCTGTATAGATGTAAAACGTCTTATTAGTGCAGGGGGCCGCTGGGGAACATTGCAGTCAGCGGCCAACGAAGACGCTGCAATGTTCCTGTGTAAACGTACCTGCTTTATATATTATATATACATATATAGTCCAGCCCCTGGGCGCATATAAGACGCAGCTGGGGGGAACATATATTTCATCGCTGTTGTTTTATATGGTCAATGTCTACTGTGATTATACGTCTTTATGTAATTATAAATATATAATTTCATTCTTCGTGTCAATTTATTGTTGGTGTTTTTGCACGTCCGTTGCATTCCACATCAGAATTCGCAAAGATTGTTCTGAGCATGTGTGTGTGTGTGTTTCAAGTTTGTGTGTGAAAGAGTTGTGTGTGTGTGTGTGAAAGTGGTGTCTGTGAAAGTGCTGTGCGTGAAAGAGTTGTGTGTGGAAGAGTTGTGCATGACAAGGTTGTGTGAAAGAGCTGTGTATGATAACTGATAGTATTGTGTGTGTGTGAGAATGTTGGTGTGTGAAAGAATTGTGTATGTGTGACAATGCTGTGTGCGTGAAAGTGTTGTGAAAGAGTTGTGTGATGCGCCCCGCCAGACCCGGCCCAGCGCCATAGGTGCAATGCCTGCCACACAGAAGTGACGTCGATGTCACCAAGTGCCACGCCTGCCACGCAGTGTGTGCCGTAGGTGCCACGCCTGCCACGCAGAAGTAGCGTCGATGTCATGTGATAAAGTTGTGTGTGAGAGAGTTGTGTGTGGGAGAGTTGCGCGTGTGACAAAGTTGGTGGCGCGGACCGCGGCGGACGGAGGGCGGACGGAGCAGGCGGGCGGCGGACGGAAGTGCACAACAAAAAGCAAGAACCCCACACAAAGATGTGGGGAATAATCATCATAACTACTGTATTTGATCTGGTCACCTGCTCTATGACAATTGCATATCATGTGCTTTGCATAGTATCATTTTACCTGATGTGAACTGGAGGGCATCTTCAAATGTTTCTGCAAACACTTGCTAGCACAACCACACTTTTTATTGCCTCATCTACATGTGCACCGTAAATATGCCTCTATTTCAGCTTTTGCAATCCAAAAGAGTTTCACTGCAACAAAGTTGACAGCAATGATACCAACATTCATCTCAAACACTAAACAATCATTCAGGAAAAGTAAAAGTGTTTCAGTTCCCAGACGAATAATCCACTGCCGTGTTACTGCATTGGTGTTGTCGACTGTTCGCCGCAAGTTCCGCAGCAATTTCGGATCCAACTCTGGCGTGCCCTGGATGTAGCGATTCAGCACCCCATCCACATCCTGCACATTCAGATGATTTAAATGTGTTGTGAAAGTTGAAGAATGCAGGGCACAGCCAATGTGACAAGGCTTGGTTTGAAAGTCACTGCAACATGTGGGTCATGTGGGAGACATCTGTTGCTGAATTCGTACCATTGGCCGCTGGGATGACTTCGAAGTCGCTTGCAGGGCACAGATCCAGCAAGTAATTCTGTAGCACGTTTTTGTTGAGTCAGTCTTCATAGTATGATTTACTGTGTTCCAAAATTCATGTCAGAAAAACAGAAAAGAAAAGGCACAAATTTATGTCCTAACGTGATATTAACGCTGCAGAACCAGGTCCACTGGAAACTCTACTTAATACTGGACCCACCTTGCCACATCATATACGGGTTGCAAGTACAGACTGTGGTTAAAAGGGAAGCACCAACCCAAGCCACAATTCATTTGCCACTGAAATGCAATCTCAACATTGGGACCTTAAAGGAATAATACTACAGTAATACTAAAAAACAAACTGCTCTTCCATGAAAAGGTGCGAAACAAGCGAAGCTACAGTACTCGTCAGAGTGCAAATGCAAGGGAAGCATGGCCGGTTATATTGCAAATCTATCTAGTCTAATGATTATAATGGAAACGAAAAATAGGAGAAGTGTTGCAGAATGCATGTGTTGTACATCAGCTACACAAAAGGAAGTGTTTGGGTGGCCCTAAACCTTCCAAGCCAATCTCCTGAAATAACAAAGGATGTTGATCTGGACGCGTTGAAACAAACCTCGAGAAATGTCCAGCACAATTATTCTTAATCAAGGCAGAATAGTTGTGATTTGGGAAAGTTCCGCTACGAAGGACTTTGGATAATGGATGATAATGGGAAATGTTGGTGAGTCATTCGTCTGATGCCCAGAACGTCCAGAACGTCCAGAACGTCCAGAAACCCTTTGGACAAAATCTCAGATCCATACATCGAGGGCTCGGAGCAAGCCTGCACCAGATGCAAATCATCTGAACATCGATACATCTTTGGAATACAAAGGTGGATTCTCGAAACATCTCGAATTTCGAAACTGCCTTCACACCAGCTTGCGTCAAACAGTTTTTCCGCCAAAAGATCGGCTCAATTATATATCTTGGTCTGGGCACCATGCATGACTTTCTTTCAAAATGGATCAAAGCATCATCGAAAAGCAGACCGGATATAATCTACAGTGAACCCCACCAGGGCCCCACCAACTCTTCTCTGTTGAGTATACACCCTGCATGCAGATATAGTGAAAGATCCCATACAGATGCCTAGCCTGGCCACATGTTTGCTGAAAGGGCATAGCTCACGGTGCAATGGTTGTTTTCCCAGAGAAGGCCAGAAGTGTATAGAAGCGTCAGGTTCTCAAATAGATTGTACAACATGTACATTCTTGGTACACTGAAGACTTGTCACATATCAATGTCAAAAAATCATGCAAAATCCATTTTTCAGTTGTTGAGAACCACAATTTGTGCAAGTAGCCTCTCAGAACAAACGGAACGGTGAAATGGCCTGTTTGGTGTCTTCTTGCTTGAACCAAAGAAGCAAGTTTCTGGCTATGTTCTGATGTCAATACGTACAGTCCAAAAGTCACTTTCAACAAATGTGACAGCATCTAAGCTGCTTTGGCATTTGATCAATCTGAGAGTTTGAAGTTTGTCTGAGCCTCATCACAGCTTGAGTGAGTTGAGAAGTGTTCCAGTTGGCATTGCAAGTGACCTCGAACGCGACGTCCCCTTTCACCTTGACTCGCGCAATCGCAACGATACAATTTAAAGAAATTAAATCAAACTAAACGGTTGGACATTTCTGACATGTTTGAATCAAAATGCAGGGAGTAGAATTTTATAATCCGACGCTTTTGCCTTGCTCCAGCCCATGGTTAGTACCGCATCACATTGCATGTCTGCTTGACAGCCTAAGACAATGACATTCCGAATATGAACTTTCAGCTTCTTGTCTCCGTTGATCTTAACCTGACAAAGTGAAGTCAGATCTGCAATATGCAAGCTAGAAATTAGAAAGCATCGGCTTGAACGTTTCACCTGCAATTCAATCTCCCTATTCACCCTTGATACTTATTGCAGGCCTCACTGGTCTCATTGGTGGAGCCTCGCAAATTTACACATTTCATGATCAGCAGAAGTTCAAGACATCCCCGGTGACAGGCAAAGTGGATAGATTGCTTCGTGAGACCAAACTGGCAGCATCCAGCAACCTCAAAAGCACCCGAGCCTGTCGCACCAGCAGAGCCTGCAGCGCCTGCCGCATATCCACCCTTTGTCTCTTTTGGAGCCTCGGAAATCTGCACAGACTCAGGGCTGGTAACATTGGCTGAGTCTAGAGCAGCAGATGCAGCAGATGCAGCCGCAGGGTCCTTTCAAAGATATTAATACAAACCGCAGTCCTTTGTGATCCTGTGTGTGGTAAATCTCTTGATGCAAACTTCAAAAGCACTGCTCGCTGTCCATGAGGCGCGCACCTTCAGCCCTGGAAATTGTTCCGTCGAAAGCCTATGAGCCTTGGAGTGCTTGCTCGATTGAGATGGAAGGCAACACAAATGATTCAACTCGTTGAGAACACTGTTGCGCTCAAATCCAAACTCACGCCGAAGTCCAACACCCACACCTCTGCAGCAAGCTGCTCATGACCCCACGCCGTTGGGTGGAACCTTCAGTGAGATTTTTCCACGCGATCCAGACTGGCAAGACCAACACAATTCCCACAGCAAGTGGAAGAACTGCACACCCTACATAGGCAGTCATGAATGAGGTGCAATCACAATCACGTAAAGATCACATTTGCAGTTTTTTTGAGCCTGGATTTCATGGAGTGCAAGGAAAGCCTTGACTCGATATTGGCGGCCTACAATATTAACCAGCATCAGTCTCCAAGAAGACACAAGAAAGCGAGTATGAGTCATGAGCGGAAGAAGGCAAATACAGGAGTTAGAAAGAATTGAATCGGGATTTTATTTACTCCTTTTCGTCATGAGCCATAATGTGGTTGTTGACAAAGGCTTTCTATCTAGCAAAGCAGAATGATGTCGCATGGTAATAAGTCTGTCAAAGCCGACAAATCCGCCCGCACCGAAGGTGCCGAGGCGTTTTTTGTGTGCCTGCAAGAACCGTTAGCAATTGCATTATAGCTAATAAGCTTTAGCTTGGGGGGGGGCATTTTTGCTCTAGAATCCTGTGTTTCTGCATGTTTTTTAAAAGGGGTCAAAATTCTTGATCTGGGCCAATATAAGCCAAAAATGGGTCAAGATAGACCCAACATAGGCCCAACATGAGCCTAAGATAGGCTCACATGGGGCCAACATAGCCTCAAATGGGGCCAACATACCCTCATATTGGGCCAAGATAGCCTCATACGGAGCTAAAAAGTGCCCAATAAGTGCTAAAAAAACGTTCAATATGGCCAAACATCCTCCAACATATTAGACTTCCCGATTCCATTACACTTGGTGCGGGCGGTTTTCGTCGCGAAGCGACCGGGAATATATAATACAGTTTTTCGAATTTGGTTTTGCCAGCCACAGGAGCAGGAAAGACCTGCAGTAAGGTTGTGTGCACAGCTTTTGTGCTTTTGTACTGACTTTGAACTTGCGCTTCGTTACTGACTCGGAACATCTTTTGAGAAAAAATACGGTATACAGATGCAAAGTTTGGCGGGACAGCTAGAAGCCTTGAATACCATGAACAAGTAAAGACGCCAACCCTACGAAACGCCACACAAATGGACCTGCACATAGCCACATTACTGTGATCAGACTGAGACCTGGACATGCTAAAATCCCACATGGAACGATCAAACACAGCTGCTCCGAAGGATAAACGCAACCTCTCCAAGGCAGCTACCTGCAACCGCCATCGTGAATAGGAGTCACAAAAGACTGTCAAACAAGAGAACTGCTATGCTACCATAATCTGAGTTACAAGTTACAACTGTTGGCCTATGTATGCCGCACAGAGTTTCTGTTTCACCTGATAAATCATTGCTTCGAAATGTTATAAACGCTGTCACTTGCGGCAATTGCGCCTCATCAAAGAAGACGCAGTAGCTATCCGAGTGCTGTTTGTTGAAGTCCTGTATCACAGCAATGCAAAAGTGCATCAAAGTTAGGATATCGCAGCGCTGGTCTTGTCTTACAACTCGTCCTGCACCATTCCTTCCCAGCGGTCATGCAAAGCAATCGCCTCTGACAGGACTCAGCTACGGTAGCAAGATGAAGAGTCTTCAAAGCCAATTTCTCAGCATGTTCAATGATGTTAGGATTCATGCAAACGTTTGTTCAGGGACAATGACAATCACAACCCCAAACAACAAAAACCACCACCGCCACCACCACGACCACCACGACCACCACGACCAGCACCACAACAACCACAACAACCACAACGACCACCACCACCACCACCACCACAACAACAACAACATCAAATATATATATATATATAAATAGATGACATGAACATACGTATATATGTTGAACTATCTTGGTTCCAGTACTAGCAGCAGCAGCAGTAGCAGCAGTAGCAGTTAGAAGTAGCAGCAGAAGCAGCTAGCAGTAGCAGTAATAGCAGTAATAGCAGTAGCAGTAGTAGCAGCAGCAGTAGTAGCAGTAATAGTAGTAATAGCAGTAGCAGTAATAGCAGTAGCAGTAGGAGTAGTGGTAGTAGGGACAGAAGAGGAGGAGGGCTACAAGGACAATGATGATAAAAACAACTGGTGCTTTTTCTGAGATAGGCTCACCTGAACTTCCACAGCAAGGCGCGGAGGATCACCAGGGCTGACACCCAATGCCTGGCAGCACACATCAGGACAATCACACACCAAAGTTTCTTTCACAAACTGAGGAAAGTTTCATCCAACGCATCAGGTGTCTGTCTTGGAATGGGTCTGATTTGAATTCCAAAGCGAAGGTTGCGACAAAGCGCTTCGCTGAGGGATTGATTACCTACTTTTGTATCTAGGTTTGAGAGGATGTTTCAAGGCTCTCATGAACTTTCAGCTTGTCACGGCTGCCACGGCCTCTAGTTTCCCCGAATTCACCATTCCTGTAATGATTGGCCTCAAGACTGCACAGCACAAATTCCGATGCATCTTCTTCAGGGAAGGTACCGAGTGCGGAGCATTGCCATGTTGAAGACAGGCATGTCCAAAAAAATAGGAACCTCCGAGAAGCACTTTCTCTTGATATTTCTATGGGACAATGTCCACGCGGAAGAATCAAATCAGGGCCCCTGCGCCAGACACCAAGAAGTTTCTCGCGCCTGCCTGAGTCCAACCAGGATGTCGTTCGATTCAAATCCAGATATATATATATATAAATCCAGGAGTCGCAAAGTGACGAAGACGAAGCGTTTTTTGTGCGAAAAATGTGCAGGGGCAGCCACTCTATGCATCGACTCCAAGAAGTCCTTGATGATCTTGGCGCGCACGAGAAAGGCGGTATTGCAGTATTGCAGTTCTGGCCCTCAACCAGCGAACTTATGCAACCCAAAAATCAAAACATTACAGCAATTACAACCATCCAAAAAAAACCATCACCTCTCTCATTCCCTTGTAATCTGCGAGCTTCATCCCATGGATTTTGAAACCCTTGCAGGCGCTACATGTGGCCTTGCAGTCCCCGCATGTCTAATAAGTCAAATGATGTCTAACAGGACGTATGGCAACGTCCAGTTGAAATATGTTTGAATGTGATGTCGAGAGCATAAAGATGCAAGCAACGTAAAAAGAAACCCGGACCCAGCTGGGAACAGCACCGCAACCTCCCGAACACCAGGATTTGGCTGTAACATCTCTGGCGTTGCAATGCTGCTAGCACCACCTGTTGCACAAGATCTGTTTGATCGCAAAACAAAAAAACAACACAAAAACGACCAACAAACGATCTTCGTGCACCAATACATCAGCATTAAATGTTGCCAACAAAATGAAAAATGTTGGCAGACAAAATTGTTTAAAATGTGTTTCAACGCATTGTTTCTTGTTTTTGCCTTTCCTTCGCACTTGAATAATCACATTTTTTCAATTCTGTTCCTTGGGGTCCGACCAGGCATGCCCAGCAAACTGCTCAAGCCACCACTGCCCATGAAGGCCTTTGGGCAGAATTGAAGGTATTGATTTTTGTTTTCTGACAATGCGCAAACTACAAATTTGGATTTTTCCCTGGACACAAAATGGAACATTTCAACACCTCTGCCATCTTCATGATGAAATCATTGCCACACCTTTCAGTAAAAGACCGGATTGGCACGGAACTCTCAATTGCCCATCGCATCATTGGAAATGTCTACGGCAGTCCAACTTTGTATCACATTTCAATTTTCGGATCTGACGGTCTATTGAGTTTGGCACGTGTGAATGACAATCAATGTTTCTGGTGGAAGCAATCCTCCATGTCTGGAAACCTAAATTGAAAACCCGCAATCAAAACACATGCAATTTGAATGACAAAAAACCATTGAGCAATTTTGGATTCGAACTTGTGGGCTCATCAGTGCTCGCTGCCCTTGGTTACGAATATCTCCACAAAGAGATCCTGGCAAACTGATGCAAGAAAATATGTCGAAGATATGTCAACATATGGTATTCAAGCATATTCAAGCAATGTTCAGAAAATCCATGAACTTTTGATCCACTGGTGACACCATGTTGAATTTTAAATCCATGTTAAAATGCAAAACCGTCAATTTCTGGTGGTTGGTGCCAAATTTGGAACATCAACCCAGTCAAGCAGGCCGCCCTGGCCTCCTTGCGCAAAATTGAGCACAGTGGCACCTAATCTCCGGCCCAACACCTGACATTTGACACCGATTTCACATCCGTTGATGGAATCAACTTGTCATCACACTCCAAACACATGCTACTTCCATAAAACAAAAAAATGGGAGACACGCCTGTGGCCAAGTTGGATGCATGTAGTCCGCCCATGAATCCTGCAAAACCCACACCATCACTAGACATGAATCGATCAAATTTGATTGGCCAAACACGTCAAATGTCAGTCCCCAAAGATCAGCACGGACCAATTTGCCCGTGGCATGTCTTCAGATGGCAAAGATGTGGTTGGCAATCTGACGTGAAAAATGTTCATGAGCAAAGTGGGCCCTGTAATTGCTGTGGTTGCAAGGTTTGCGACACCCAAAACGTGAATGATTTTCCGTCCACGTCTATTGGAATCTGAAAACGGAATTAACTAACGTGATCTTGCATTTTTTTGATGCGTGAAACAGCTGCACAAAACAGGTGAAATCAATCCAAATCAAATCAAAATGGATTTGCTAAAAAAAAACTGTTAAATGAAAACTCTCAGTCAGTTTTGTAGCGACACACTGAAACTTAGAATTCTGCCCAGTTTTCCAAAATTTTGATTTTTGAATTTAGAATGCCGCCAAAAACCATGTTTTTTAGGGTGTTTTAGAATGCCGGCCAGGAATATTCTAAGTTTCAGTGTGCCGATAGCCGAACCACAGTATTGCCATACAAAATGCATATTTTAGGTATAAAATGGCATGCTAAGTTCTCTCCGTGCAGCGTGTTTTCCTCCATAAGGGTACCCCAAAAACAGCAAACATAAAAATAATTCCGTTTGAAGCACATATGCAAGGAAAAAATGCAATTTACTGCATATTTACGGGGCTTTGTGAACATACAAGATCCAAGGCACCTCAAACAGGCATCATTTGTTCCTTCAAAATGTTTCTTATTTTTTTCCCCATTGAAGATGGAAAACTCGAAAAAACGGGAGCGAAAAAAACCTGCAAAAAAAAAAATAGGATGCTGGCATAATTGTCTTTGGTTTTCCATTGTTTTTCATTGTTCCTTTTTTGGTTTTCCATGGGTTTTTCTATGGTTCTCATTGGTTTTTCCTTGATTTGTTCATAGGTTTTTCTTTGGTTCTCAATAATTTTCACGTGTTGTTCTTTGCTTATCATTTTTTGTGTTCATTGGTTTTCATTCGTTTTTTGTTGTTTTTCTTTATTCCCGAATGCATAGCGAAGGGTTCCCGTTTATAGTCTGGGGGTCTGGGGGCTGGACCTTGTTCGCCTCCAGTTGGTCGTCGCGTCGTTTTTCGCGTCGTTTTTCGGCAAAACCTCGTTCGTTTTGCTGCGCCGTCTCGAGTTTCTGCTTGTCCTCTGGCGTCGCCGTGTCTTTGGGGGAAGCTGCAGAGCGTGGTTTGTTTTGCTGCGCTCGCGTCGCCCTGTCTATGGGGGAAGCTGCAACACCTCAGTCTCGTCTCGAGTTTCTGCTTTGTGCCAGCTTTGAGTAGTACTGGGAAGTGCTTTGTGCAAACTTTGTAGTTCACAGTAGAACTGGGAACCACTATGTGCAAGCTTTGTAGTACAAAGTAGTACTGGAACGTGTTTGTGCAAGCTCTGTAGTTCACAGTAGTACTGGGAAGTATTGTGCCAGCTTTGTAGTACACAGTAGTACTGGGAACGACTTTGTGCAAGCTTTGTAGTACAAAGTAGTACTGGACTGGAACGTGTTTGTGCAGGCTTTGTAGTACACAGTAGTACTGGGAACAACTTTGTGCAAGCTTTGTAGCACAAAGTAGTACTGGAACGTGTTTGTGCAAGCTTTGTAGTACAAAGTAGTACTTGGAAGTGCTTTGTGCAAGCTTTGTAGTACACAGTAGTACTGGGAAGTGCTTTGTGCAAGCTTTGCAGTACAAAGTACTGGAACGTGTGTGCAAGCTTTGCAGTACAAAGTAGTACTGGGAAGTGCTTTGTGCAAGCTTTGTAGTACACAGTAGTACTGGGAAGTGCTTTGTGCAAGCTTTGCAGTACAAAGTACTGGAACGTGCTTTGTGCCAGCTTTGTAGTACAAAGTAGTACTGGGAACGACTTTGTGCAAGCTGTGTAGTACAAAGTGGTACTCAGTAGTACTGGACACGACTTTGTGCAAGCTGTGTAGTACAAAGCAGTACTGGAACGTGCTTTGTGCAAGCTTTGTAGTACAAAGTAGTACTGGGAACGGCTTTGTGCAAGCTTTGTAGTACAAAGTAGTACTGGGAACGACTTTGTGCAAGCCTTGTAGTACAAAGTAGTACTGGGCACAGAAGAAAATTTCCCTTTGTGAATAGTGCCACCTGCAACCCCCCCGGCCAGGGTTGCAGATGTGCTTTCCGTAGCTCGCACATTTGTTCGCAAGGGGAAAGGGGTGAAAACAGGTGCAGAAAATGAACCTCTCACACTGCCGCGCAAGAACTGCACACGCTCAGCAAGCTGCACGGCCGCACGCATCAGCAGCCATCCGCATAGAAGAGCGCGGGGCGAAGCGCTGGCAATAGGGGGCACGACACCTTATATGGCAAAAACAAGTTTTATACGCACGTGGCCATGAAGGCCGCCCCAACCTCAGTCAGGGAAAGGGTGGAACGGCTCCACGGTTGCCTCTGTTTGAGGCAGGCTCCGTGCAGCCCCCTTGGGAAGTACTTTGCGCAAGCTTTGTAGTACAAAGTATTACTGGGAAGTACTTTGTGCAAGCTTTGTAGTACAAAGTAGTACTTGGAAGTGCTGTGTGCAAGCTTTGAAGTACAAAGTAGTACTGGGAAGTAGTTTGCGCGAGCTTTGTCGTACAAAGTAGTACTGGGAACGGCTCGGTGCAAGCCTTGTAGTACAAAGTAGTACTGGGAAGTAGTTTGTGCAAGCTTTGTAGTACACAGTTGTACTGGGATGTGCTTTGTGCAAGCTTTGTAGTACAAAGTAGTACTGGGAAGTAGTTTGCGCAAGCTTTGTGTAAAGTAAGGAGTGTGGAGTGTAAAGTGTGGAGTGAGGAGTGTAGAGTAAAGTGTCGAGTGTGCAGTGTGGAGTGTAGAGTGTACAGTGTAGAGTGTAAAGTGTAGAGTGTGGAGTGTGGGTGTAAAGTGTAGAGCGTGGAGTGTGGAGTGGAAAGTGTCGAGTGTGGAGTGTGGAGTGTAGAGTGTAAAGTGTAGAGTGTGGAGTGTAAAGTGTGGAGTGTAAAGTGTGGAGTGTGGAGTGTAAAGTGTGGAGCGAGGAGTGACGAGTGACGAGTGAGGAGTGTGGAGTGTAAAGTGTAGAGTGTGGAGTGTGGAGTGAGGAGTGTAAAGTGCAAAGTGTGGAGTGTGGAGTGTAAAGTGAGGAGTGTAAAGTGTGGAGTGAGGAGTGTGGAGTGTGGAGTGTAAAGTGAGGAGTGTAAAGTGTGGAGTGAGGAGTGTGGAGTTTGTAAATTGTAGAGTGTAAAGTGTTGAGTGTAAAGTGTAAAGTGTAGAGTGTGGGGTGCGGAGTGTAAAGTGTAAATTGTGGAGTGTGGAGGGTGGAGTTGTGAAAGTGTCGAGTGGAGTGTGGAGTGCAGAGTGTAAAGTGTAGAGTGTGGAGTGTCAAGCGTGGAGTGTGGAGTGTAAAGTGTGGAGTGTGGAGTGTAGAGTGAGGAGTGTGGAGTGTGGTGTGTGTGGAGTGAGGAGTGACGAGTGAGGAGTGAGGAGTGTAAAGTGTGGAGTGTGCAGTGGGTAAAGTGTGGAGTGTACAGTGTAGAGTCTGGAGTGTGGAGTGTAAAGTCTAGAGTGTGGAGTGTGGAGTGTAAAGTGTGGAGTGAGGAGTGTTAAGTGGAAAGTGTGGAGTGTTAAGTGGAAAGTGTGGAGTGTTAAGTGGAAAGTGTGGGGTGTAAAGTGTAGAGTGCGGAGTGTAAAGTGTGGAGTGAGGAGTGTAAAGTCCAAAGTGTAAAGTGTGGAGTGAGGAGTGTAAAGTGTATCGCAGTACTACCGCTCCTAGAGCTAACAGATGGTGGTACAGGCACAAACTGAGTTCGATTCACCCAATGTCCTGTTGCTCCCAGACATCCCTGCTGCACTCCTCCCGGACCTCCCTGTTGTTGTTGCTGTTGTCGCAGGATATACTCCATCCATGGATCAGCTGGCAGACCTCCGTTTCCCTGCACGACCCCGGCATGAGCCCTCGAAGTTCTCAACCCTGGTCCCTCGTCAGTTCCCACACCCGCAACATGAGCCCTCGAAGTTAACAACCCTCCTGGTCCCTCGTCAGTTCCCATGCCCGCAATGTGAGCCCTCGAAGTTAAACAACCTCCTGGTCCTCCGTCAGTTCTCATACCCGTGGTCAGTCCAAAACCTGCCATACCAGCCTCCTGCAAACCTGGGCTGTTTTGTCGTTCTTCCGTCAGATCACCTCTATGGGGCGGCGTGTACATTCCCTGGAACTACACACACAGGAGCTTCAACAGAGCTCCGCTACCATGCGAGAGCCACAAACGCAAAGTATGATCTCAAGAACCAACACCTGCAACGCTGCACGCTTCAAGCCCCTTTTGCACGCGACAACAAGCACAAAAAGCTCTGTCAGTTCATGTGGCTATACTTGACTTATCTCTTGTTTGACTCACGCTCCTTGAAAGTGAAATCGGCAGAGGAAACTCGATTTCAGGTCTAAACAATTCCGGAGGTAAATCAAAACCTACATGACTTCAAATGTTTCTTGGACAAAAGTCACAAAATAAGTGACGTCCAAACTGTTTGGTTTCAGGTTCACAAATCCCTAGATCTAAAAACCCTACAAACTAATTAGTTCACCAAGACAGGTCATTAAATCCCCGTAAAGGTGGGCTTTCCTCCCATCAGTCGCCATCTCAAATCTCAACACAAGTCCCAAAGGACCTTTCAATCAAGTGATGGCTTCCAGGCATCACTTGGGAGAAAACCCACAAAGTTTCCGGGTCCAAACGTTAATGACCTACCAATGAACATCTCTACTTCAAACGGTCACATGCAAAAACTATAGTTCAAAACCCTTCGAAACAACTTCAAACGTTCCAAAATGGTCTCAAACTCACTCATCCAACTCAGACATCCTCTGAGGTTGATATGTACACGCAAAACAACATGCAGCTCCTAATACACGTCACTTTCCAGCTCAGAACCTTCTGAGGCTGATAGGTATGGTCGCGAAGACGGCAACGTCGAGCGATACGTCAAAGCAGTCTCCACAAAATACATATCTGTAGACAGCAAATTCAGATGCTTTGACCAAAATAGCTGTTTCTTGTACCAGATTCAGATGTAAAGACACCATTCTGCAGCAAATTTTCCAGT